CTTAGCTCCAGTCCAGCAAGAACACCGACCACATACCGTCAGAAAACAGGAAACGGAAAAATCGTCGAAAATTCCCCCTCCGGCAAGCTCGCCGGCCCGATTTTTTCCCCATACTAATCACGAAAGGGTCGTTTTCGAGCAGCGCTCTCACGAGAGGGGCCTCTTGATTTCGGCATTTTTCACGAGAGGGTGTTTCGCTAACAAACGTTTTTCACAAAAGACCCCTTTTGCCATACTGGAGCGAGAATTCCCATATTAGTAGTTCAGAATCCGCTTCACAATGCAGCAGTAGTGGACCAGGTACTTGGACACCTCCGGATTGACAAACAAGAAGCGACGTTTCAACGAGTTGTTTTTGTTGACGTCCGTTGAAAAGTAGCAGTACTCCTCGGTGTCTCCTTGGAACAGAAACATGCTCTGGGGAGCACATTGCGTCAGCCTCGGGTACTCCTGCAGCCTCATGGTCGAGCCGGAAGACAGAATGACCAACGCAACGATTGCAGAACACAACCTGTCGAACACCGCAAAAACCTTCTCCCTGTTGGTGTCGTCGATGAACGAGATGTTGGTGTCGGCCACCAAGGCGTTCATGTCCGACGCAGGGAAACACGAGTAGAAACTGGACTCATGCTTGTACTGGTACCTGCCTCTCAACTGGCCGTGGCACCTCTCGACACCCACCACCTGGATTTAGGCGTTGAGGTCGGAGACACCCTGGTTGTACTCGTCCTTGAGCTTCTTGTACAGGCTGGCGATGAGCTGCGGGGTGAAGATGAACCCGTTGACCATCACAGAACCGTTGGCAAGTCTCCGGGTCATGGTGTCGGTGTAGTTGTTGCGCTTCTTGAGAATGGTGGCGTACACCGCATTGAAGTTCTCCAGCGGCTGGTACCCTCTCTCTCCTTCGAAGGCCTTGAGAAACTCCCGTGGAACCCGTTTGCCGTTGGTGTGGATGAGCAGGTACTTGATGAACAGCTTGTACGAGTTGAATACCTTGACACAGTACTCGTAGTGTCTCAGCTCTCCCGCCTCGTCCAGCACAGACGCCTTGACAGGAAACGAAAAAGCAGCCTCGTCGTCCAGCATCAGGACCATGATTTCTCTCAGAAGCCTGACTTTCTCCTCCAACCGGGCATAGATGATATGGTCCTGTTCGTCGGCAGCATCGCCCACGTTGTCTCTCAAAACCTTGATCTTGTCGACAATCTCGTCGTTCACCTCGGCACAGTTCTGGTACTTGCCGACGTTCAGCAAGTAGAAATACGCAGTGCTCAGAAACTTCAGGTACCGGTCAAGGGTGCCCATGGTATGGTTGCCCATGGCAGTCTCAACCCGCATGGTGCCGGTGTTGGCAACGTCCAGGTTCATGAGGTGCTCCTTCGCCGCAAAGTGGAAGTACAGGTAGTACATGACCTGCTTGATTTCCACCGCATAGACCATCGAGTTTTCAGGGAAGTCCTGTTTCTTGAGCCAGGCTCTGAACCCGTTGAGCTTGTAGAAGGTGGTCAGACCGGTGGTGGACTCGTAGCCGGTGTTGATCCCGTCTGAGCTTCTGTAAGCAAAAGAACAAGGGGTGTCGTTTTCAGGAACCTTGGTGAACAAGTAGATGTGCTTGTTGCTAGGAAAGATGATGCAAACACAGTCGGCTTCGATGCCCGACATTGAGTTGTGGACGGCAAAGAACAGATCCTGGTTGGTCAAAAACCGCTCGTCCAGGTTGTACTTCTTCATCATTTCCTCATCCGGCTTTCTGAAGACCTTGGTCTTGGTGTTTTCCTGAACAATTCTCTTGGTATGAGGACACTCGTACCTGATAACGGTACCGGTAGGATAGGTCTCCCAGTCGTCGTACAGCTCCTTGATGTAGCTAATCAACGGGATCTTGTCCGCAATCTCCTTCTTGTAGGGAGTGACCACACACTTCTTCGTGTGGTCGACAATCAACCCTTCGATAATATCAAATCTCTTGCTTGCTAGAATGTTTTGTTCTTCAGACATCTTTGGTT